GTTTCCGGGTCATAGCTGTTTTCAACGAAGCAGACATCAAACTTTCGATTCGAATGAAAATTATTCTTTTAAGTATGTATTTAGTTTTTTTATACCTAATTCTATTATTTTTGATAGTAACTGTTAACTGCAGATCGAAAATCTTCTATTGTGTACATTTTATTTCGTTGGTTTTTGGTGGCATTCATGCAAGTTTTTTAATGAACCAATTACGAACGTTTGTGCGACATACATTTTATTTTGCTTCATAAATATAAATCATAAATATAAATTTTTGCTAAAAATTAAATAAAGCATGTATGTATCTATTTGGGAAAATAAATTAACAAACTTGTTATGTCTTTTTCTAGACGCGATCATTACTTGTAAACAACTGATGTCGCCGCTTGAGGAATCGTGCAGCTAAAATCAGCTGATTGTACGTGCTGACGTTTACTTAATAATAGCTCTTCAAAATTCCTATTCATTTTGTAATAATAAATATATATTATGCATATGTAATAATATATGTAGATTAATAGATTTTTTAGTTTCCATTTTTCAACATCCTTGCCAATGATGCACGTTACAAATGTGCCACGCCCACTTCACATTGGCGCGCCCTGTTTAATTTTCAAACCGTGGAGAACCCTGTATAGATGCGTCTTCCATTTTTTAACATGGCAATAAATAATGATGCTCATTTTAAAATAAGTCTCTTTTTATTGAACATTTCCAAACATCTACTGCATTTTAATGCCACTGGTTTTAATGATGTGAACATGGAATTCGCAAGATATATCTAAGTTGAATTTGCTTTTCCGATAAAATTTTGTACATACACATTGTACAACACTGCGAATATATGCACTACCATATTAAAAACAACAACAAAGCTGTTAAAATTTTACTTCAAATAAGCTACACTGTGATGTGTTGACTCAGGAACACACAAAACATCAAAGAAACCAGAAAGCTTTCATGTTTGACTTCTTGTTTATTCCACCATTTTCAGATGCCCCAACGGCACTACTTTTTATATATCGATACACTCGGGTGATCAGTTGACATATAACACCATTACAAAAAGTATGTATTTTGACGTGTGCAATAAAGTAGTTCCAAAAATATCACATACACCCAGGAATAAATGTGTAACAAAGTATTTCTATGTTCAGGATGTAGCGTAAAAACTCGATTAATTCGCGGTAGTAAAAATAATTATTTTTTCAAGTGCACGAATTATGTAATAGCGTAAAAACGGAAATTATTGGTTTTTGGTGCGCGAATTAAAAGAGTACTTTTTGATCAATTCAAAAAGGAGCTGTTTTCATAAATTTATTAGTGATTTGTTTTGTTTTCCAATGAACACAATTACAGGACGTTTTTTTAGTGCCTCTGAGACTCGTGGCTAGCGACATTCATGGCGTATAGTCGGGCAGAGAACACGCACTGCGTCAAGGACCACGCACCATGTTACACTTGAAATGAAACGGTGAAATGGCAAAGGTCACTCTGGCACAAACAAACAATGAACACGTGGCTACAAAGCAGCCGCC